CCCCCCCCCAAATAAATATGGGGGGGTACCGGGTACGTAAAATGACGGTACCCTAACTCTTGGGGAGCGCTCTCCAGCACCTCTCCAGTGTCTACACTGTACAGTACACCCCATCCGTACAGTGTATCCAGGATTGAAGTGGATTCAATTCCCAGAAGGAACTCCCTTCGTTTCTTTGGGTTGCTTCTCTGCGACTACCTAGTAGCTGAGAATGCCACCATCACTGTCCAGCTGGAATCCATATTAACAGTCAACGGCAGCCATGGCAGAACTCAGCGCCATACGTTATGAGCATTCAATATACGGTAGTGTTCTGTAGCTCAATTTGCGTACGGCCAATAGTACATGGGCGACGCATCAGCTTGCGGAATTGGTGACTCGATGCAGAATATCGTTGCGTCAAAGAAAGCTGCTTTGAACCGTCATTCAATATCACCTGGGTCGCATTCTGTTGCGTTGTTGAAAGTCGAATTGAAGGCTGTCTGATCTTTCAGCAACACGGCGGATGGGCACCAACATTGCTGCTCGAAAGCACAGTGAGCTTTAATATTCGCCCTTATTCACAAAGTTCTGCTTTATCAAGAACATCCAACCAGGTTCTCCTGGCACCGTCTCACCACTTACAAACCAAACTTGGTTAACGCTGATTCCTTCCTGGGATACACGCGTGGAGAAGCATGGCCGCCCCCAGTGTGTCGCAACGGTGTGCGCTTTCCTATGGACCTGCAGTTGCCCATGCCCATCTTTCTAAAGGATGCTTCACAAAGGTTGACCCGCCCCTAGTGGCCCGCGGCCGAGTCCAAATCCCCACTCTAGCAAGTGTCCAGTCCGTGTCTTCTCTGCGCGCAATCAGTACTCTGTGCAAACGAACATGCACGGCGGGCGTCAGGGCCCGTCAAGAACCGGAGCAGTTTGTCTACCGTGGAAGCGCGCCTGGAGCTGGGGGAGTGCCCTGGAGCAAAAGAGCGGATCAGTTGAGGAATGGCCGGCAGAGTTTTTCAAAGGCAGCTGGTACGGCGGCTCCGGAAGCGCAGGGTGGCAGTGCAAGTAAGCTCTGTTCAATGCGGACCATGCTCCATTTCATTGCTCTGATTTACCAGTTCTGATAGTGTCGTCGTTCCTTCACTTGGAGTTTGTCATTTCAATGCGAGCTCAGATGTCACTGATCAATGAAAGTCAGGACCAGCTAAATCAGGCAGACTGAAGAGCGTTGCTTCAGGCGTGTCCTTTTGTCAAGGCTCTTAGAGACAACAATTTGCAGCTGCATTATACATCGAGCCCAAAAAGTGTTTGACCTCTGTGAAAAGCACCGAAATTCAGTAACTTCTCGAACACTCGGTGGACTTCAAGCTTGCAGCAATGCACGAACAAGTCTGGGGGAAGCAGACAGCTCAGTAGAAGTGGCTTCAATCTTCAAGAACCTTGCCCAGATAATGAGTCATCAATATCCTCTAACTGGTGGCATGATGCAGGCGGGTGAAGGGGTCAATATAGCGATGAGATGGCAAACCAATGTCTTTTGATTTGCTTTTGGGTAAGAGCAAGGGATATGTATCAAGGACTGCCCTCCAGTAGGATGTTGTCAGCAATTGGAGTTGTGTGGACAATTGTCGCCGGAAAACCCAAAACAGGGTGTCAGTCACTACTTGGCTACAAAATCTTTGAAATTCCTTGTGAACAGGACTGAAACCATGCCACTGCACCCACAAGCAAGCACTTTGCAGGCAAACCCATCTGATGCAAGCGCCGCACTTTTTGCGCAGGCGACGAGCAGCGAACCGCGCTTCTCACAAGTTGGCTGGACAACGAGGAACGGAGGAATCTGCTGGCCCTGGCAATCGACGCAGCCTTCCTCTTACAAGGCATAAACTCAGTCAAAGGCATCATTGCGAACGAGCTGGCCCGCCAAGAGCCCAAGGCCATCGCCCCTTTCATAGACACTGCCTACGGAGGGCTCCAGCAAATGAAAACAGGTCTCAAGACGGCCATAGAAGCGCGCACGACCGGACGGCCGGTTCAGGAGGAGCTTCTCACCGGATTTGTCCGGCATACCAAGGAGCTCGCGGCCAGTGTGAACGGGCTCCTAACCAAGGGCTCAGACAAGACGGAGGTTTCGGAGGACTTCCTGCTCGGGCTTGCTAAGTTTTCGAGCGGGTCGAGTGCCGGCGCCGGAGCGCTTGCTGTTGTGCAGAACCTCACCGAGCAAAGTGGCAAAAGGGCCTCGGCCGAAGCCCAGGATATGTGCGCCGACTACCTGGATGCCCTGCTCGAGGGGTGCCTGGGAGTTGTGCAGTCGCTTCTTGTCGGCCTGGAGAATGTCAGGGCCCTGTTCGAGTTCGAAGCGCCCCCGCCCTCCCTCCTGTCACGCTTTCAGATTCAGTTGACCCGGACACTCCCAACGAAATTGTTGCGTACCTTTGGGAGGGAGGAAAGCGTGAGCGACCGCAAGGAGCCTCCGGCGCAGGGGGTGGCCAGCTTGGGAAAGGTATGGGACCAGTCCACGAACATGAGATGACTCGACGAGTTAGTGGATTTTTTTGGACTTGCGTTTTGTAAGTTCTTAGAAAAAGTCTGATAATACTCTGGTATAAACGCCGCTGACGCACTCTGGATCAGTCCTGTTGGCTCATTGCTGGCTGATCAGTTCCAGCATGCCGATAACAATATTCCACTCAACGGTTCTCTCATTTGCCATAAAGGAGCCTGAAGTCTGAGAGAGACAGGTAGTATCAGACGCTGAGTCTTGCTGTGCATACCCTTCCAACGGCTTGTGCGAACAAACTTGACTTCACCGTGAGAACTCATCGTCCTTCCAAGAGGCCTTGCCCATCAAGCTTCTCATTCGCTGGCAACAACCAATCAAAGGACTCTGGGTCCGTTTACCATGTGAATGAGAATTGTGTAACTCTGGTAACACGAGTGTCTCACCACTCCAAGGACCAGTGTTCGCACTTCAGCTATCAAGACTGAAATTGCTGAGGCCTTACGTGTTTCCACCCTTTCTTCCAGCCTGTGGAACTGCCGTACGCAGTTCAGAAGGTGTTCTTTGCCACCGACCGCGTACTCGCAGGAGGATCCCCCGAGGGCGTGCTGGCATACTCCAATAAGATGCACGACACGCTTGAAACGGGCTGGACCAACGTCAGCATCCCCAGCAAGTGGGAGGACGGCTCGGTAAGAATCAAAGAAATCCTCACCATTTCTCAGTTTTCATTTTTTTCAGTCTTTTAGGCAGCAAAAACATGCTGCCTTCGAACACATGCGCCCATCTAGGATTCAACGGACCTCTCTAGTTACCGTGAGACAGCCTTTGTCCGAACCAGGTCCGAACCAGATCCGAACTGATCACTGCGGTTCGGATCGGTTCGGACACACTTCAGATCGTTGCAGCAACATGGAATCGTGATTCCGGACCAAGTTCGAATCGGTTCGGATCACATTTGGACTTCGTTTGGAAGCAAGTCCCTGTCCGGATTGGACACTTTTGGATTACGATGCGCAAGATAATTCACTGCCAGGAAGTTGTGTCAAAGGCCCGATCCACAAGTTCAAGTTAGGTTGCTAGCCGTCTCCTTGATGATGATGTCGAAGCTGTGTCTTTGAAGTGGGGCTACCATTCAAGGATAGCCTTTGATTCTTGTGCAAAACTCTGGGCCGGGTACGTTCTTGGGACTATTCAAAATCAGCGTCTGCAAGGCTCGACTGGCTTTCGCCTTGAACTTCCAAATGACAATGGTTTTGCATCCAGGAAAAGCCCTTTCCAACGAGCTGAGGTTTACAGCAACTTGTGCGTAACCTGTACGGCCGCTCAGCTTACGACGTCGAAATCCGGAGAAGAGCCGTAAATTAATCGATGTTTTCAATTCCTTTCCTCTCCTTTGTTGCTATGTTTAGCCGAGATTGACGAGGAGAACCATGTTCAAGCCGGTAAAAGTGTCGCTTCCACAACTTTCGATCTGCGCTCAGCATCTCTCCTTACCAACCAAAGCTTGCCGCGCAATCGACCTTCAACTTTCTCACCGCGCGCGTTTCTTGTCATTGTAGCGGCGCAAGCCCGGGGAGATCGGCAAGGACACCGACGACTCCTCGGAGCGCGCCGCCCAGTACCACATCATCCTCCTCCCGGGCCAGAACGGTACGTACCCCTCCGACCGGGTCGCCTTTTACGAAGACCTCCGGCAGGAAACCGAGGCGCGGGGGGGCGAACTCCTGCTCTTCATCCACGGCTTCAACACGTCCTTCAAGGGCGCGATCCGCGGCGCGGCGCAGCTCGCGTTCGACCTCAAGACGGACGCCGGGAGCTACGAAGGGGCGGTCCTCGCGTACGACTGGGCCTCGTACGCCGAAACGCTCCGCTACGGGTTCCTGCCGGGCAAAGGAAACGACGACCGCGACCGCGCGCGCACGTCGGCGGGGCGACTGGCCGGCCTGCTGCGGGAGCTGGCCGCAAGCTTCCCCGGGGTAAGGCCGGGCCGCCGGGGAGTCTATTCGCCTTCGAACTAGGTTGGCGGAAAACGGAGAGACTTCCAGAGAGTCGGCTGGAAGAGCGCGCTGGACAGATCGCACAGCTGGAGGCATTGTCGAGGTCGCTGAGAAGTCGGGATCTTGAGGGCCCTGTTGAAAGCTGCATGCTGGCCCGTTCCTTCAGACCCGCTCGTTTGCCCAGGGCCTGCTGAGAAACAACCCATTGTAATCAGCTCAGTCCTTGTCAACCAAGACGTCGCCGTCGTGAAAAACAAGCCCGCCAATATGCTTGATAGTTTGGCGATTTCCCAGTGGCGCTGCCAAGTCGCCACTGGAATTGATGCGGTGGACGAGATACAAAGAGATTCAGCTACTTATTGTAATTGCTTCAAATCCCGACACCTGCCTTGAATCTTGCAAAGCGTGAGCACGTTTTAGACGCTGCTCGGACGGCCGCCGTGCACTGGTCCGGGTTGGAATAGTAACAAAGCATCATTCCTCTTTTGGACTTCTGCTTGTAGTTGTCCCGTCTTTCGGCCCGCGCTTGTTTGTTTTGCGAGGTCTTGACGCTGGTTCCGACGGTGCGCGTCCTGCTCTTTGCAGAAGAAGCTCCACATCGTCGCGCACAGCATGGGCAACTACTGCCTCAAGAACGCGCTAGACCTTCTGAACGCCGACCCCGCCGGTCTTGCGGACGTCCGCGCGCTGACGCGGACCGTCACCTTTGCCGCGCCGGACGTCTCCCGGGAGATTTCCGGGTCATGGTCAACCAACTTCTTCCCCTCGGGGGAAGCCCCGACGCCCCTCTGGTGACCCTGTTTTGCTCCCGGGGCGATTGGGCGCTCGTTGTGTCGTCCGTGTTGCGCTTCGTCGGCGTCGACTTTGGGTACCGGGCCGGTCTCTTCCGGGAGTGGCTGCTCCTTCGCAAAGGGCACCGGGTGCACCCGGTGCTCCTCCCCGGGCAGCTCGACACGGTGGACGCGTCGGGGTTCGCCACCGACGGGTTTGGCCACGGCTACTTTTCTAACAACGAGAGCCTGCTGGCGGAGATCTCCAAGATCATCAACCACGGCAAGGCCGCTCAGGAGCGGCTCCATATCGAGCCGCTCTCGCTTGAGGTGCAGTCTGAGTGCGAGGCGTGCACGAACTGGTATAAAGTCACCAAGCCTAAGCCGCAACGGGCTTAGGCGGCTTGCCGCAAGGGCCCCGGCGAGGGGTCTCTGACGTCAACTCGCCCGAACGGTCGTCTTCAAGCGTGAAGAGCCGGGAAGACTTGGGAGTGGAAGACCTTACCGTTGAGCACCAGATTGAGCTACTGATATTGACTTTACACGACGGGCACTTAGGATTTGAGAGGTTTGGTTTTGATCCGTACTAAGAAGGCTCATGCAAATGAAAGACGCGGGGCTACAATTACTAACTTACAGCTGCACCGTGTTGCTGAGCCCCGCGGTGACAGCCATGCAAGCAGACTACGGTAGTTCCATATCTAGGTATGCTCGGCATGACGATTGGACTTCGAGTTTTCAATAAACGATAAAGCAAAACTAAAATAATGTAACTCTGATTCTGGTTTGCAAACGCACTGATTGGTTTTTCTGCATTTAGAAAGGAGACTCGAATATACCCAGCTTCCTTAACTTATGCTCCAATAATGATTGTGACGCTTTTGCGCTAAATATATGATTTGGCCCCTTGTACTACATGATTCAGTACGAGGCGGCCCAGGCACTCGGACGAAGTTTTAAACGCTCGTTGCATGCAATCATGAACCACTGAGCGCGCACTCAGACCGCGGTCGCCCACCACGTTTCACTAGCGCGTGCTTTTCAGTACATCTACTCCAAGGATGCGTGATTCGTGAGCACGTATATGCATGCCTTGATGGGGATGTGCATCACCCAAACTGGCCATATACAATCATGCCCGGCTCTTACGATCCTAGCACTGTATGTCACCGGAGCACGTCCGTCAGCGAAACGCACGTCATGGTACGCGAGACATAATTATATAGCCGCCTGCATGACAATGTAGTTGATCAAAGTCTCTGGTGTACTTGTATATATAACAGCCATAATATCTTCGGCCCGGGCCAACAGCCTTAGGCAAGGAACTCCAAATCAAAGCTGAGGCTACCCTTCTGATCATCCCAGCTGGACTTGAACAATTGAACTGTATTTCGGACCAAGTCCAACTCGATGTCCTACTCCGCTTGGGCCTGCCGGTCATGCAACCGGCACTCGAATCATCTGCAGCTTAAAGACATGGTCGAGTTACAGATCATGTCGGCCTTGTACGAAGGTATTTGAATAAATCTATCTATACTTCTGTGTACTCCCCAAGCTCTTGACACCCGCTTCCGGCTATTTGCAATTCGACCTGGTTCGTCACCTCTGCCCTCAATCTCCTTATCTCTCCTCCATCCTTATTGTGCCAGCCGGCCACCTCATTTCCTTTTTCTGCCTGTTTCCTTGAATTGACGAGGCCCCGGCTTTCGGACGCTCTCCCGCTTTGAAGTCATCCGCGGCTATTTGATGTCCGGAGAAAGGGGCCTGGAATGCCGGTTGAAGCATTCGTTTTCTATTTTTCCTTTTTCTTTGTTTTTCAATCCTAACCGGCTCCCGCAGTCGCTGGCGCTGTTGCGGCTTCCTCCTGCGGCCAGGGGTGGTGCTTTCATCAGACCTCGCTGTCACCACGTCGACATCAGAACCCCGGTTGAAAAGTTCAAGTTCGACCACTTCTTATTTTGGCACCCTTTTCTGCGCCCGCTTATTTGACGAGTCAGTTTACAGTTTTCCTGAGTAATACGTTGCTCGTTTCTGAGTTTGGCCTAATGGGAAACTTTTTGGTGCAGAGCAGGCGGAACTAGAATAGACAAGCACAAGACACGCGCGTGTACTCTAGTTCGAAACGATACGTTATTCAGGGAAAATATCCCAGTCTGCAAGTTTTCAAGCACTTCAAACCCCACCCAGCCGTTGCATTGCGTCTGCTCCGGACGAAAAGCTTTTCTAGAAGCGTAAAACATTAAAATGTGTGGACCTCTGGAAACATAACGGCTGTTGTTCTTCGTAAAACGTGCATCCTTCAGACAGTACTTTCCACGACAACCACACTCAAGCCTGCAGACGTTTTGCCACAGTCACACCAACAACCGGAAGCCATAGTAGTTTCTCAAATCCCAGGAGGTACCTTACACTCGAGGAAGGTCTCTCAGGGTCTGGTTGTGACGGAGGGGTGTAGCTCTGGATCCGCTCGAAGCCGCGCCAAGTGCTCCTCTTGAAGAAACACGATGACGTCCAGGCCTCCGTCCCCTTCAGGTGTTTGCTGCACAGTGAGATTCGGAAAGATTTCCTCTTCCGACTGTGCAAGCCCACAGATGTCCTCTAATAATTGTGAGTATTTAGCATCACGAAGTTGATGAATATGGATATTAGATTTGACAGAAGCGCACTGGCAAACAAATTGGATGCTAAGCACGACGGGGAAACCAGGAGCGCCTGCGGTTGATGAACGCTTCATTTCTTATGACGCCAATGCTCAGAAGCTACTTGGATCTCAGGTTGCAACTCTTGCTCTCTCAGAAGAATCTCCGAGAACCCGGCTAGCTATAGCGGTCTATTCAGAGGAGCGCTCTCCCTTCTTAAAAATTCCCTTTCCCCATGTACAAGCCGTGCGACTCGAACAAGCAGGAAAGACAAGATGCATGCCATATTCCCTTCGGACAAGGACCGGTGCTTTCTAAACACGCCAACCACACAACTCCGGGCAAATGCCTATCTTGGACCATTTTTGGTCCATGCCAACTGTTTCCAAAGCATCGACTATGATATGTGACGTCAGAAACTGGTGAGGAGAAGTCAAACCCGACATAGCAGCAAGAAGGTAAGCGTGCAAGACTCAGAACATGGAGAAGTTGTAAAGGGAAACGCTGATACTACGGTACTGAAGGACGGACCGAAACCCGGGATGAGTCAGGGCAAAGAGAAAGAGAAACCAAGTCATACTAAGTACGGTTCAAGGACTGACCTGGATCTCCACCACTCCGTCGAAGAAGGACGGCAGTTCGGACAGCGTCACGAGGGCCGGACGCCCCCCGCCGAAGTCCGCATCGTACACCGGGAACTTCGCCCAGCTAGTGACGCGGACCGCGGTGCCAAACGGGGACGCGCGCGCGAGGAAATGCGGGACGAAGGGCATTGATCGGAATCTGAGCAGCAAAAGAGAGCGAAGTTATGACGGCTTGACTGAGATTAACGGCTTGACTCTCCTCTGGGTCTTTGATCGATGCACAGGCAGAAAAAGGATGAAGTATCGAAAAGCATCATCACGAGAAAAAGAGGACGGCCTACTTGAAGAACAGCGCAAAAAAGTGGCTGTGCGTTTGTGCGTCTGGGGACAAGAAAAGCGATGAAAGGGAGACGCGTCGCGGAAGGAGGGGACGACAGGTGCAGTGGAAATAAGGGTAGCATCGCAGAGACGTCAAAGGATCAATGGCCGAGATCAGGCCATGTGCGGAGAAGCGCCACCAGATCCGTTTCGTCCATTCGCACTGAGAATCAAATCGCGAAAAAACCACCCGGAAAGCCCAAACGCAGAAAGCGCAGAAAATTAGACTGATCAAAGGTCGCAAACCAACTTGGGCAGAAGCGCCGTCAGGTATAGTTCGCCCGTTCGCATTCAGTACAAAACAGGGCGAAATCAACCTGGAAGATTTCACGTTCTAATGAGGAAAAACGGATGAGGATCGACGGTCGCCGACCTACTTGCGGAGAAGCGCATTTAGATACGATTCGCCCATTTGCAGAAGCTCCCGCCGCAGTCGTTGCGCCACCTGGCCCAACGTCTTATTCAATAACTCGCCGGCAGATATACTCAGCCGGGGGGGTCCCGCGTTGCCGGAGCCGATGTAGTCGGACGGGAGGGGGGAATCGAGACGGGACCGCATGTCCACGTGCCTGAAAGTAGGATGCTCAGGTTTTGCGATACAGCTAAAGTACGCGAATGTTTTGCGGGTCCCGACCATAGCTTACAACGCCAAACGTAAACTGTCTGATGAGGAGAGGTTTAGGGCCGAAGCGTCCGGTGGGAAGCAGGGGCTGTCCCTGACCAAAGCCTCGAAATGACTTGTTTTTGTCGGCCCGTTCCGTTGGACCCTTAATCAACAATGAGGGCACGTTGGGCAAGTAAAGCGATCAATCCTTCGAGAGACTAGCTGTCACTAGGGTGGAATAAAGCAAGTCGGCCCGCTATGTTGAGCCACAGTCTGGTCGTGGCAATGCTCGCAATGGACTAACGATCAGCGTCGTATATCAGTGCTCTTGATTTAGGGCGTCACAAATGGACCCTGATTTTGTCCGATTGTTGCCAGCTCTGGTTCCTGACCATACAAACAAACTAAAACAGACTTAGGAATAGAAACAAACTGCCAGACCAGAAGAAAAACAAAGTTCAGGTCTCTTCAAATTCCATGTGATCACGCATAAGAAGAAAATGCTTCCACGGTTGTGCGTACATCCGCCGCCATCGAGCTGCTGAAAGACAAGCTTGAAACACCGGACAGCACGCATGGATAAGGGGATCTCACCGGTCGAAAGTGACGGTTGTGTCAGCGGGAAGCGCGCGCGCTCGCGTGATCCTCTGCCATATGTGCGCGCACACGGCGTCGTCGCTGGAGGCCCAGTCGCAGCCAGGAGTAGCCGTGCTTTGGCTGCGAATGCGAAAAGTCAAGGCTCAGGCAGGGTCGCAAAGCGCCACTGAAAAGCCGAAGAGTATGCTCTCTACCGATTGATCGATCGGACGGCTCAGGATGCTTCCAAGTTCTTCCTGGGCGCCGCAAGGTCCTCGGTTTCTTGCAGAAACAGGGAACGTGACTAACACAATACGGGTTAGCATTATAATGGCTGTGAAACCAGGCTTAACCAGGCGCCCAGAACACGGTGTTCGCACGTCTGCCCGGAGACAAAAGTTGTTGGAATTTGCTGCTAACCCAATTTGGGTCAAACCCATCAAAATTTGGATTCCGGGCAGACATGCAAAGTACGCCTCGGAGCATGGAACCGGTTACAACCCGTTTTGCCTGGGGTGCTTTGTGACCTTGGGCTCAGGCGTTTGCAATGACTGTTTTCTTTGTCTGCTACCCTGAAACCTCCACATCGACGTTTCCTATCAGTGCGACAAATAGACTCGAATCTTGAGAAGGTTCCTTGTCTTGATGTGGGGAGCCGAAGAGGTCGGTTGCGAGCCTGCACGTCCGTCGGCCCGTTCATTGTGGTCTTCGCGATTGAAGCACATCAAAAGTGTTTCTTCTATCCAAATGAACAAAATCTTCGGCTCGTAACTGATGTTCTTACGAGTGTTCTATCGGAGGCGGACCACTACGCTTTGCATCGATGCCCGGAGTCGACAAGGGAGCATCGAAGGGCAGGCTTGGAGACAGTGAACAAACTGAAAGCTCCGTGCCCTTCCGTTGCTTCTTTTAAACACGAAAGTCCAACAAGCGGAAAAGAACCAGCTGACTTCGGTATTTCTGAAGGATCTTCGATTCAGCAATAGTAAGCTTTAGCAATAGTAAGGTAACCAGCCTAGGACGGGTAGGGTTAGTTTGGGGGTTAGGGTGGGTTCGGGTGCGGAGCGGGCGATTCTACGGGTTAGGTTTTTCGTGTTAGTGCAGGAGCTTACAATTGCTACAGCTTACCCTTGCTAAATTGAAGAGACATCAAACTGAAAGCTCCATGCCCTGCCGTTGCATCTATAACACACGAAAGTCAAAAAGCGGAAAGAAACTAGCTGACTGTAAGTCGATATTTTCCATACCTTGGGTCCCAGCTCTGGCTGCTCTTCTCGTTCGCTGCCCGCTTCAGCCACGCCACCTCCTCCCGCGTAAACGTCACTCGCAGGAGGCCTTCTTTTTGGCCGAGCGACCGCCACCGCAGATCGGCATATGCGCGCCAGAAGGACGCGTGCTTCTGCCACGTGGCGAACGCGGAGCCCCACAGGGACGACGGTTGCGGACCTCCGTTTTCGAGGCCTGCACTGGGAAGGGTACAGAAGTACGCATTACGACTCTGTGCGTTTTGAGCCATTCGATGAATAATCAAAAAAGGAAGAATCAAAGGGTCGAGGCAGCCATGGTGCGCAACAGCCGGACGCATAATACACGTAAGATTCGAATAGTTTCAGATGTTGGCGGAGTGGGTTGCCTAAGCGGGGGCTATGAGCGGTTCGAAGTGCCAAGAAAGGCGTCGGTGGCTGGCGCATGAATTACGATCTGTGAAAGAGAAGCATTGCAGCTGGCTTACGGACACTTAGACTCAGTACTGCAATTCGAAGTCCAGTCTTCAACTCAAGAGCCTTCTTGCAATCGTTCCGGAATCGGCTTGAACATTCAACGCCGATAGAAGATACGGGGAACCGACCTCCATTCGTTCGCTCATCCCGACCAATTAGGACCGTCCGGTTAAGGGACGGCGACGCTGGAGATTTGCCGCGGGCGACCCCCGCCCAGGCGCCCATAAAAGTGAAGAACGCCGCTGCATCCACAATCTGATGGTGGAAACTGACTCCGAGCACGAGGCCCCCGCACCGAAACCGGGTTACCTGAGGCGGACACGTGGCAAGATGTGAGTGGAGGACACGCTTGTCAAGTGGACTTTTAACATGTTGCCTCATAATCAAATTATGGAATTGTCTTTCAACATGTTGCTCCATAGTGAATTTATTGAACCGTAATTGAGAAGCTCGTGGCGAGTGTTGGAAGATGCCAGGCGCCAAATACGAAACGGAGTAAACAAAAAATGGGGCTCGGAACATGGCTGGAGGTTAGACTACCTAGCAGAGAGGGATAAGCTTGGTTAGCTGGGTTATACAAATTCCGTCACCTGACTGAAACCTGTCGACTTGATCACGGAGGTCCTTCGACTAGATGGCGATAAGAGCCCAGGTTTAAATCAAGGGCGCCTTCGCATCTTTAGCCTCAGTATCTCAAGAGTAATTCCCCTTGAATGTGATTTTTCCGTTTGTCTCGACAGGTAGACTCGCGGACGGTATCCCTCAACTGCGGAGGAGGGCCCATCAGAGGACGCTTCGATTGTAAGGGCAGCTGCTGGTTGAAAATGACTTTCACTCTTTCCTCTGCACAGGAAGCGGCTGTAGTAGCAGGATAAATGATAAATGACAAATGATCAATGATGTCAGCGAATCTCACCTTGACTGACATCACTGGGACGCCCTGAGGTGTTCCGCCAATCCCTGGCGTTGGTGTAGCCAGCAATTCGGACGAGAACTGACTGGGCTGCAGATCGGAAGGAATCTCCAAATTGCACTCAGACTCGATGAAGGGAACGCCGTCGTTGAATCCATAGGCTACCGGTCTGCGGGAAAGATGAAGACTTTGTGAAAGGAAAGAGGGCAACCATAAGAGTACGTTCCTCTCCACAGAGCCTCAAACCCTCTAAGTTCTTTTCCACTTCATGAGCAAGTGGTTTCGTCAGGGGAAATGGTGGGCAGGGGCGGATAGCTGCTAGGTGCCACAGTCCCAAGAATTTGAAATCCTGCATCTGCATGACAACCGTAAAAGAATCGTTTTCAACATACAGCTTTACTACAAGGACTCTCCCTACAAGGGAAAACAATTATGCAAAGAATCGCGACTGCAATTGACACCTCAGTGAACCAACTTTGGCTCTCTCAAAAAGCCTGGGCAGTAGCAAAAGTGTGAGTGCGCACCTGCCGTTTGAGCTTCCAATGCGCCCCCCCAGAGGGTAGAAAGCTGCTAAGGTGCGAGCCAGAGACTCCTTCAGCAAAGCTGTAGTAGGCAAACCACTTCCTGTCAGGGGGCTTACTTCTGCCCCTTTAGAGGACCCCCCAGAACGGTAGACAAAGATGACGGGTATGTGGTATGGGACTTGAATGACATCAAGGTCGCTCAGAGGGAGTTCCTTGGGAGAGTCTGATGGGGGGAAGGGTTTCACCCAGCCCCTGCTGACCTCACGAATTGCCATGGCTTTGGGGGCTCAAGGAAACTGCAAGAAAAGGGAGTGTAAGTATAGGCACAGCTTTCTTACGTCGTTTGAGGCAGAAGAGATATATGCAGAGGAGTTGCTGCCATAACGGCTTTCTCTCTCCTGATGTCAAACTCAGCTTGAAAGAATAGGAATTGGTTTTGTAAGAGACTTTGAGGAGCGCCTGTGGTTCTTTCACTGCAGCTTTAAGAGGTTCACACCAGAAGCTGTGAAGGACTGGTGAATGAATCGCTGTGATGATCAAGTCTGCCAGCTTTCCGTTTTTTAACAAGAAGGAGCACATTGAGCGACGCAGAAGACTATGGGTTGCATGATTACTATCCTCCTGGCGCCATGAGGTACAATTTTACTAAAACCAACTAACGCGTTTGAAGCATTGTTCTCAACGATTGGTCAAATGGTACGTGTCAGGTCCTCCTCTTTCCAATTGGCCAGTGATATTAATAAAACTTTGGCACCCTCGTCCAGGCCAGAATATATACGGTGTGATCAATTCAGCTGCCATTGGGGGACCGGGACACACCCGGGACCACATGAAGAAAGTCTTTAGTAGAATACACCACCAGATAGGGTCACTCACAGGACACAAGCGGTGCAATGCTGCCCGCAGAAGAAATGCAGCTGTATTGCTGCTACTTGTCTCAGACGGAGCACCGGCAATCCTAGGGAGGCTGCTGCAGCTTTGTGAGGCTCAACTGCCATGCAATGCATGGAAAAGTCAAGACTTTGCCCATTTGAAATCAAGTCGATTGAAGAAGCAGTACAGTGAGCTACCACCACGTCCACTGTGAGAGCTGCCATCAATTGATGAAGCTTGGAATGGCGTTCCCTCAGCTCGCAATGTGGCCCTTCCCATTTTGGAGCAGGCGCGGTCACGATTCTAGCCTGTAGGGTTACGGTCTGCCGTAGGGTTTACGGGTACGTAACTGGTACGTGACATAACTACAAAACCCTTGACGTACCCTTAAACCCTCCTACCGTAGACTGCGGTCGCGCAGCGGCCGCGTGCACAGTGGCGGCCGGCCGACTACCCGGCATTTCCAGGCTGCACATGTACAATCATACAATGGCTACTGTCTGGGAGTCGGGAACAGTTTCAAAAAAATGCTTCTTGGATTTGAGGCGGTAGACAGGAAGCGATTGGTATCACTTTTCAAGCACCAGTTTAAATTGCCCACGAAAGCTGACCGGAAACGTAAAAACCAAAAAACTTCTCAACAATTCGGGAAGACGGGAAGTGAATTCCTGCCAGCCTGAGGTCCCTGCCACTGGAGTATCTTCGCCCCAAGATGTCTGACTTATTAGACTAATGGTTCTGGCAGAACCTTGCGAAAATTGTGAACCGAACAGGCAAAGACGTGAGCATGAATATGGGTGGGTGTACAAAGATGGCGACGTTATAGAGATTCAAAGAACGGATCGGAGTCGGTGCATGTTCTATATGATCAGGCACATTGTAATCAATGAGTACGGCGAGAAAACGTACAAGAACTTAGCTACGTTTCATGATTTCACGGTGCTGGGTACAAGGCACTGGCATCTCACCATGAGCGGATTGCAACCTGGGAAAGGCCCTAAAGAGGTGAGAATGGACACATATGCGAAGCTGTATCGTTTCTGTCAAGGTTCTTTTGCTTCTGTCACTGCACGCATGCGATCATGGGCATGCGATTCTGAAGTCCTTGATCTATTGGAGCATATGCCTCCAATATTGGGCTCGGAGTAATCAATTTGCCCCAATGATCCGGCTTTGTCAGACAGTTCAGTAAGAATGGAGCTTATAGCTGCCATGAAATCGATCAAAACCTGTGTGCCAGGTGTGCAAAGGTGTCCGGTTGATGGTCGGTTATTTTGAGGTTATCTCTGACAATATGTATAACAATATAATTTGAAAACTCTTGTGTCTTCCGCCTCTCTCCTCAAGCGTAACATGATTTTGACCTGCAGACAAGAAGTACCAATAGACATGCGTTATTGGCAAAGTTGCGGAGCAAAGTGGAATGGCTGACGGCACACTGTGCCTCTATTGGTGTAAAGCCAAAACAAACTGTCGATGGTGGTATTTTTGGGGGACACGGACTCGGCCGGCCACTCTTGCGGGTGTCCGGCACCGAAAGTCAAAGTTACCTCTAGCATCAGCACCGGTAAGCTCAGAAAGCACCGGTAGCATTCTTTGAGGTGAGCCTGCATGCCGTTGTATTCATGATCTGATGCAAGCACAATCGAGAAAACTCTTGCTGCAAATTCTACTAGAATTTGGCTTACTTATATCGCTGGAAAGAAATCCCTGAGGAGTTGTGAAGTTGGAGGTAGGAGGAACCACATTTTGCTCTACTTTCAGATGTAAATGGGCTAGAAAGGTGCTGCTGATACTGATCGAAAGCTTGTCTGACCTTCTTTGAAGCAAAAATTGCCACCATTGGAACGCGAAGCTTTGAACTTTGAATTAAAGTTGCCACTTCCCCTGCAACCCCAGAAAAAGGCGTGCGGGATTGTGGCCCCTTGGCAAGTATCTGCTGAGTAGATAGATTAGTACACGTCCAGACTGAGCGCATTATTCATCCGGATCGGTTCCTCAGCGTGAGCTAACCGTGTGCCATGTTGCAGTGTTCGTAATGTACGTCCCCAATGGAAGTGTCGCGCGCAGAGCTGATTCTATTATTCTAAATAGATTTCATGTTGTGCCCTTGACAGTACAAGATCCCTTCGGAGAAGTGGCGGCTTCAAAACTTATCAAGATCGGTGGGCACTGAGATCGCCTAAGTTTTTCGGCATTCATCTTAGAAAGTCAGAAAGTTTGGGGCTCCACAACAAGAGTCAAGTTTTCTAAAACGTCCTGAAACGTTGGTCAGTTGGTCAGTTTCCCAAGGATTCAGCAGGCGCGTTTTGCCTACTGCGACTAGCGCACCTTCTATATCTTCTATATCCTGCTGGCTTCTTGGCGTGAAGGCAGAACTTCACGCAAGTTGCATTTGTGATGAGAACTTCGTTATGTTGCTTGGGCCCACTGCATATCAAAACTCTGGCATCTCGGAAACTTAGTAAGTGACATGACTGACTGGAATCAATAACTCGATTGATTCTTGACGATCGATCACTTCATGCCACTACAAATGAGAAAGACTCAGTCGGAGTCGAAGGGTCTTCAACATGACGAGCCTGCACTTGGTAATAGACCGTCACCATATCACACATCGATGCTCTCATGTATTCTTTGAAAGAAAAGGTCTGTCAAGTTGAATTTTTGCAGCGTCGGATCTATACCAATAGGCTGGCAATATGTCACAAGACGCACGATCTGAATTCATTTTTTGTTAATGTCGAGCAGAGTTGTAGTATGCCCGATCGCTCCCATCCTGACGGTCGAGCGTCAATGGTCTGCCTAAAAAACCCATAGATAAATTAACAGAGGAAACATTAAGGGCAAGCAGGGAGAATAGCCAGCCGAGAACCCCTGAGGCTTACGAGTAGATGAATCCAAAAATCGAAACAGTCGGACGTGTCAGACGAGAAGTTTGCAAGTAAAAATGATTGACAAACGAGTCCTAGAATCCTGGCCTACACAATTCTGGAAACTCTGGACCGTACCGCCTGTCCCGCTGAAACTCCATTTCGATATCAAGAACGAACATTATTGGTACCCATCAGATCATAACCAGCGTCTCACAGCGTCAGCACGAACTCGAGGCAGGCGCGACAGCCAGCGGGGCCGTCTCCTAGTAGTATTCTAGCTTTTATTGAGGTTTCTATGCGGTCCCGTCACCAGCCTCACGAGGCTTGCTCTTCTGTCCACTTTTACCTAGCTTCAGCATAAGAAGGAACAGTCGTACTACTAGTCTATATCATCAAAATCTCAGTTCTGCTGACTGCGTAAGGAATCGGCCGGACTCAAGCTACGGTACGCATGTGCAGCGCCGCGCGCTTCGTGTGCCGCGGGCGGCCTGCAGTGAAAGGGTTTAGTATGAAGTCATGTCCGTTCAAAAGTTAGTTATTAACCCTCCGGTGGAGAACATTGCTGGCCGCACGATATGCTTTCTTGATGGGAATCCACGGCTGAAGATGCCTTCCTTCGGTTTCTCGTGGTCAGTCGGTGTTCTGAGCTAGAATTTCGGAAGTGAAGGATTTGCCATGAATGCTGCTCTCAATCAGCCTTTTGATCAATACTAGTATGCCGACGGTACTGTTCAGACTGCCCATGCAACAGGGCGCGGGCGAGTGCTGGACAGTCTACCTTTTATGAAGAAGAAGCATTGAGCTGGACAATCTCTTGAGTTTGGCACACTCTCTTCTTTTTGCTTGGTTTCGCAGTGTCTCTTCCAATTTTCCCTTCCTTCCATGCTTTCCAGCTAGCAGCAGTTCCCTTCCTTTCCTTTCCAGCTCCCGTCACATTCTGCAGCCATGATGGAGAGCATCTCGTATGAGAGGTATCCGAAGGAGATTGCACTAACCATCCCCTCTCCCCGCTCTATGAAAGATGGGAGCTCCCCCCTCCAAACCCCATCTCGGGTCGCCCCCAAAACACCCAACTTCCGAAACCCTCGGCTCCCAGCGGGGGGTTTCAGCCAGCCCGAGCAAATTCCTGCTTCTCCCCCCCCTCAAACTGCTGCGGAAGCTGCCAGGCAGCACGAGGCTCAGGAGGCGGAGGTTGCGGTGGAGCCGAGAAAAGTGTTCTGGGACGAGGCAAAGGGCCAGGTAAAACTGGCTGCACCGATCGTTGGCATGAACCTGGTGCAGATGCTGCTCGTGCTGAGCTCAGCGGCGTTCGTGGGGCATCTGGGGACGCTTGAGCTGGCGAGCTGTCAGCTGGCGACAACGCTGGCCAATGCGACGGGTCATTATGTGCTGGTGGGCGAGGGATTCTCTTTCTTTCAACTTTGCTTGCATTCTCTGATCTCTCTATGTTACCACAGCTCTACAAATGGTCATGATGGATGAATGTACGCTGGTGGTACATTTGCTTGTAAGCGGTTGGCAGTGCGTCACTTTGGCAGCTCCTGTGGGCTTGCATATAGTGGTGGTATATGGAATCAAGGAATGGATTTTGAGCTCGGGGTATGTTGATGAAGTGGAGGTGGTGGTGCCATAGCAACACTTCTGGTCCTGCTGTTAATTGGTCGGTCCTGGTGTTGACTGGTCGGTCGATGTCTAGCAGAGCGTGTCTAATCTGCTCGAAGCTAGTCTATACCTCTGAATGTCAAGCTGCACAAGTGGAAGATGGTTATGGTCCTGTACTCTTTCAGTGCCCTCATTTTTCCTTGAAGACAGCTTTCAGACCTTGGAAGTGGTGCTGATGTTGGTGCTGGCTTCACTTTGAGCTGACTATAAGAAAGCGCACGAGTAGTACACACAGGAATGGCCGGATGTTGACCAAGCCTTGTTAATGGGCACTTGAACCACAATCAAACCCATGGCCTTTGACAAAAGAAGAGGTGTACAACCATGTGCTTATCAACACGCTTCAGGGCAGAGGTGTTCCGGAAGAAGATAATGTAAGAGAGTTCAGAAGTTTTGAGCTTCATTTCCTGGCCATGTACTTAGCACATAAGTCTGAAAATGGTTCCAAGATACAAGCGTAGCGCTGGCGGTATCTCTTCTGCTAGCAGGATCCTCACATTCCGTATGTTTGTAACAGGAACAAAATCTGTCCAATGACGACACTTTTAACAATGGCAAAGTTAGTTGAGCAGCATGCGATGACGCCATCTTTCCTCACTAGATCATAACTTCTTCTGCCTTGCATGAAACAGCTCTAATTTGTGGGCCACTTGGCTCCAGAAAGCTTTGGCAGCAATACCTTTGCATGTAAACAGCAACGCGGGTTTCTTGAAATCTTTTCGTGGGCCTCTAATTTGGAAGCAGCAAATTTTTCAACTGGGTATTGGCATGCTCCTCGAAACCACATGCGGGGCACCAGTCACAAATAGGTTGCAGAAAGATCCATTCGAAACTTCAAGCATTTCCACACCTAAGATTCTGGGTCGTCACCTCCAGACGGCTCTAATGAGTGTCAATCTCTCGCCACTCGCGGCAATTGTCCCTATCTTTCCCCTCAAATTGGCAGGATCCTCTGCTCCATAACCCTAGGCAACTGAAGGCGTTCGTTTGCTTCATTTTTCGTATCTGTAATCTCTCACCTTACAAAAACACCCTCCATCTTTTCCGCAGATAAGTGGGCATGATCCTCGGTTTCGAGACCCTGGGCAACTGAAGGCATTCTTTTGCCCCTCTTCGTGTTCATCAATCTCTTGCCACGCACAAACCCCCTCTTCTCCTCTCCACCTTCCCCGCAGATCGGCATGATCCTTGGCTTCGAGACCCTGAGCGACTAGTAGGCGTTCTTTTACCAATTTTCGTATCTTTTATTTCTTGCTCCCACAAAAGTTCGAGCAACGGAAAGCGTTCACCTGCTATATTCTGGATCTCTTGATCTTGTCACAAATAAAATTCCCCCGCAGATTGGCATGATCCTCGGCTTCGAGACCCTCGGCGGGCGCGCGTTTGGCGCGGGCCAGTACACCGAGCTCGGCCACATGATGCTATGCTCCGTCATTCTCCTCACCCTAGTTGCTGTACTCGTCTGCGCCATATGGACTCAAGCCTACCCGATTCTCCTCTTACTGGGACAAGACCCCGAACTGGCGAAAATGGCGGCGCGCTACCTGATCTTCCTCATCCCTAGCATGTTTGCGCACGCATGGTCTGCGCCGCTAGTCGTGTTTCTACAGTCCCAGGGGGTCACGGGGCCGCTCGCGTGGTGTTCTGCACTGACTCTGGTGCTGCACGTGCCGGCCAACTGGTGAGTGGGTTTGCATCTTTGAGGAATGCAGATTCTCCAAAATGCCTCCGTTGATGTGAAGTCTGCAGAAGAGGTGTAAACACTCTGGGAGAGCTGTCACCCTCGTCAAAGGAAAAAGCTGCCAAAACAGGGCCGGTGGAACTCACCAACCCTTCTCTGGATTGCGGAAATTAGGTGATTAGCTTGTAAAGTTCTCGTTGTGGATCGAGGCTATAGGAAAGGGGCCGTGAGTTTGACTCCCACTCTTCTTGTGATAGAGGCTGCAGAGTAGGGCCCATGAAAAGGAAAGGCACTGGGACCACTTTTACTCCATTCTCTTTGGACGGCTCTGCCTTCGATTCATTCGTCGCTTACAGAAGTGAAGTACATCTGCTGCCAGCACGAGAGCGAAGGCATGAGTGGAAGAAGTTGTCCTTTGAGAAAGAGAACCCATCACATTTGGATACGAGCTTCCAATTCGTTTGGCGTTGCGAACACAATTGCTCTATGTCGCCCCATTGCCATTCTCAATACCAACACCCGTTACCCTCAATTCATCTTCACGTCGTTTTGACGTCATGCAGGCTCTTAATCTACTACCTGGGCTGGAAATCCGACGGCGCCGCGATCGCCACGTCGATCTCCTACTGCGTCATGTTCCTCATCCTGGCCGCACACGTGTACTTCACCAAGCGCTACGCGCCCTCGCGGCCGCGCTTCGCGTGGAACAAAACCTTCCGCAACTGGCGGCCGCTCGTCAAGCTGGCGGCGCCGTCCACCGTCATGCTCTGGTGAGTTTGTCGGACACGTAGCGGTTTGTACACGTCTTATTGTCCACATTGTCCAACACGAGAACCGCAAGATGAAAGTGGCGGCAGCTCCTCACGCTTGCGCCACGTCGACCATATTTTTCGGGTATTGGGACGTGAAGGTCTGAGGTATATGGTTTCGTAGCTTTAATTAATGGTTCTGTGGTTGAAGGGTGGTGAGGATTCCATCGGCGCCCTTTGGACGTTCCTACTGTGTGACCCAGGCTGTCACTATGAAGAATGAACGGTCGTGCTCCAGCAAGGGGGCTCTGTAAACCGCTTACATCTCTCAGAGCAGACGGAAATTTTACTTTGTTGCACTCTGTCAAGGCTTTGAAATGGTTCGGACAGCATCTGCGGACCGTGCGTGACTTACCTGCGCAATGAAAATCTTGAAAACGAACTGTTGGGGATGGCTGCCCTCTCTTCCTGCTTCTTTCGTAGCCTCTGGTGCTGACCACACTGACAATCCAGTTGTATCGTGGTCATTGAATCAAAACAATCCTTCAAATCACTGTTCTGGCCGCGCGCATGGTTGTATGCCCATTGTTCGAATGCTGTCTCCACTTCCCTGCAATCTCCATCTAGAGCATCTAGGTCCGTATCTAGCCCAGTACGAATAAAAAAGAGTGGCCGAGTCGGCTCACTCCCGTTCCGCTGTTCGTTTCCGCAGCCTCGAGTTCTGGGCGTTCGACATTCTGTACATCCTGGCGGGGCTGCTGCCGGACCCGATCGTCGTCGTGTCCGCACTGTCCGTCGCGTGAGTGTCCGAAACCTCTTAACTCAGCAGCTCGTGGAAGCTGCAGACTGTTTCTAGAACGGACTGTCCGTAGTGTGAGTGTCCGGAAGTTTCCACGTCAGCAACTCATGAAAGCCGCAAACAGATTCCCAACTCCGTCCGTGTGTGAGGGCTAACGACTTCACGAATCAGCAAATCTTCCAGGTTAATCCACGGCCTCCTAAATCTCTTTCAAGTCATGATCACCAGCTTATCTAAACACCAAATTTCAGGCGTGACGGCGCATAATGTGGAGCACACGAAGCGAAGGGCCAGCACCCGTTCAACGTTGATGACCCGTCACGGATCGTCAGCACGGAAACCCCGACTGCAATACTGACTGACACGTGTCAAATCCGCTGTGCAGCATGAACGCGTCGTGGCTCGCATCCATGACGTACATTGGGCTGGGAGCCGCGCTGAGGTGAGCCTGATCTCAAAGACTCACGTGCTCCCAGATGTTCAAAGATGAACTCCTCTATTCACTAACTGCAATAAAGAATGTTTCATTGTTGCTGGAAGGTCGAGAGTCCTTTTCTGTGATGCTGCAAGGATTAGCCAGTTTGTGCAAAGCGCATAGATGATGACTGATTGATCGGCGAAATAGTCTGCGCTTAATGTCACGTTGCACCTACACCTCAACAATGGCAAGTTAAGTCCGGAAGCAGCCACCTTTTAATGTGGATTCTATACGATCACTCAGCGGTTGACGATTGAAGACATGACATTCGTCGCGCTCGACTTCCCCAACATCCTGAAAGATTAAGATTCAAGACGTTCCAAAACTTCACCTCGCGGGCCCGCCTGAGAAAAGTCCCGTTCTCTCCGCGCAGCACGCGCGTGTCCACCGAGCTCGGCTCCAACTCCAGCACCAAAGCGCGCGTGGCCGCGCGCGTCGGCCTCACCGCGGGCGCGTTCCTGGGGGTGTGCGTGTGCGCGATCATCCTGGCGACCGCGCGCTGGGTGCCGCTCATCTTCGTTAGTGCCGAAGACACCAAAGTGCTGCGCCTCTCCACCCAGCTCATGATGATCCTGGCCTGCCTCGCGTTCTCGGACGCCATCTCGCAAAACGCCGGAGGTGAGCTTTTCTGGACATTCTCCGTTTTGCCTCTTCTCCGGAAGTTGTCACCGTCCTTCTCCTGCCTATCATTTGCGAGAACGTGTTTTCCAGTCACAAATGCACAGAGAACCTGGTCTAGACGTTCTTTGGGATGTTATTTCATGCTCTAAGCAGCTTTCAAGGTGATCCTCGTGTGCCTCGCGTTCTTGGACGTGAATCCTCAGAACGCCGGCGGTGAGCTTGTTTCGATGATCTGCTTATGCATCCCTTCCCGAAGGTAGAACCGTACTTCTCCTGCCCATCGTAAGGTTGGTTTCCAGATGCATTCTTCACATGTGCAGGTGTTATTCGCGGCTGCGGACGTCAGCCGCTCGGCGCGACAATCACTCTTTCGGCTTACTACGTCATAGGGCTGCCCACGTGCGCCGCGCTGGCGTTTGGCTTCAAGCTGGGCATCTGGGTGAGCGACACGTGTCACATCCGTTACACGTGGCTCGTCTCGTCATAGCACCCTCTTCTCTGTTGCCACCTTTTTCGAATAGTCTTTGCCGATTGAAACCAAGCTTTTGGCTTGAGGCTCGTTACAAACTGCTCTTGTTGTTATTTTTACGGCATGGCTGCCAGGCCTTCCAATCGCAGACGATCAAATCTCCAACATTCCAAATTTTCATATCCTGTTGTTCTTTGTTTGCCTTTGTCCCAGCGCTAATGATTCCTCCCTTATCTATGTTCCCGCTTGCAGGGTCTCGTGGGAGGTCAGATCCTGGGAGTCACGTGCCAGGCCGCGTTCCTTGCGACAGCTGTCGCCTTCACAAACTGGCCACGTCAGGTGAGCATCTCTCGCTACACCCACGCAACGGAGTCATTTCGTTTCGCATCACATCAAATGCCTTCACATCCGCCTAAAGGGGTTCCAAGTTTTCTGTCGGTGGGGGCTGTCTGGCTGTAATATTTTTCTCCTGTAAATGCAATGGTGTTTACGACCTGCTATTGGAAACGTCCACTTAAGTTTCCGCAGCATTTCAGCGGCGATCTGCTTGATCCCTAAAATCAAAACGAAAATTACCACGAAACCCTCAGCTACGCCTACAAGTGCGAACGTGGACCCGTGATTCCAGATCTTCGATGCCCACGCACAGGCAGACAGCAGCTATTCTCGTGGTACTCTTTGCTGAATTTCCGATGCCAATACTCGCTGCAAATTACTTCAGTCCTGCTCTCCACCAGCGCTTTCGCAATTGACACCACATCTGACCTTATTTTGTACAGGCTGCCAGAGCGCTGGCCTCAGTGTTGGAGACCGGCAGGGCCGACGCACAGCCCACGGCCAACGAGAATGAGCGAGCGACTGAAGGGGACCGGCTCGAAATCTAGGGCGGCGGCCGCGCCGCGCGTCCCGCTCGCGCTGTGCGCGTGTTTGTGCCCTTTACTTGGTTATGGTATCTATGAGCTTGTGTGTGAAAGGTAGGTATTTCAAAGAGGTATAAGGAAGATGGAAAGGATCGAGGCGCCTTTCCAGAACTTTCGAAGAGAGCCCGCGAGCCTCGAGCGTTCCCCTTATTAGGTGTGATTGGTCATATAGGTGGAAGGTATCACAGGGGAGGAGCCGTGGCTAACGTCTCTCCAGATACTAGCGCTGATTCCGTTTGAAATCTGTTTTAGTAGCCGTTATAGCAATAGCAGCAGGCCGGCTATCTTGTAAGCACCTCTGGAGTTTGGCTCGGCGGAACGTATTGTTAGCTTATCAAATCAAATGGGCCGTCAAAACTTGTAGCATAACGCCATATCAAAGCCGTCAAACTAAGGGATTGAGTTTCCCGAACAAAAACACCCCGTTGTAAGATAGATTGTTGAGTTGCGAGGTCTACGAAGACAAAAAGCTTTACACAAGTAGTATGCAAGACTTTCAGGTGTTGAGCCTTTTGCTGTCAACAGCGCTCGGCATACGCGTGACTAGAGAGACATGCAATTTATTTTAATTCAAGCGCTAGGATGTTTTAGCTTCTGAGACTTATATAACTAACAATCACGTCTTTAACATACGCTTATAATCGCTAACATCACCTTCACAAAACATGCTCTCGAACAACGGCACAAGTTGGCAGCCAAGATGGTGATCAACATGCATAGTCTTATAGCAGTTCAACTCGTGCTTTCTCTAGCCATGTGGGATTCAGAATTCACTCGGCAATGTAGCGCAAGAAAGTGTACTACCGGATCCGGTAGTACAGAATTGAAGTAGACACATCAGTGCAGATTTATATCTGCAGCTTGCAGATTCACTAGCCAAAGTCCGCTGTCTGCAACAACCATTTTATTGGTTAACAAAAGTAGCTGGATAACAGCCCTTTAACTGCATAAGGCCGGCCTGCACATATACTTGATGCGCAATTGTGCTGCCAAGCTAGGTGATATGCACATGCGCATGCAATAAAGGCTGAGCCCAGGCTTGAGCTGAATCGACGGTATATGCGCGTGCTGCATTTCATTGAGTTGCGGCACAACTATTTCAGAATATCTGTTCTTGAGTCATGGTTCAAGATCCATGGTTCCTGCTTCATCGCCATGTCGGACGGAGGAGCTAATACTGGCCTTCCTCTTTCAGGCCAGAGCGGGGCGGGCCTAATTTCAGCAGCTAGCCGCTACTTCCGTAGTTCTCAACCCAGACTGCGACATTGAACACTTTCTGTTGTCTTCTACGCACTCACGATAAGTCGACCCCTATGGGGCTGTTTACGCCCGGCCTATAATGCCTATAAATGAAGTTTGGTACCCGCAACAGAACTCATAAACAACTAGCTGCGCCGCACACAAAAGGCCGACTTTCCCCGATCATCCGCTGGTGCCGGATGTTGACCTTGAGTCCTCGTACTGCAAAGATGTATCCCGTTCAAGAGGAAGTCATCCAATTGAAGCAGCTGGCACAAGGACCTCTCGCTTATCCGGGCTCTCTCTTAACGGACCGTCAAATCTGAAGTCGGTCAACCCTACAGCAACAGTGACCCCGGCTTCGAAAGGAGACCTGATAAAAGTAAGCCTTGACCGCTTGATCCTACTTCGTTAGGAAAATTCTTTCCGTCTGCAACTTGTCATGGAGGTTGATACAACCAAGTCCTCCATGAGACACCTGCACCCTAAACGAATGTGACCTCAAGGACTGTATGACAGTATGCCACTCCTTTAGCTGAACGACAATGGTCTATTTTTTCGCTACATTGCCGAGTCTGCAGGTTGCGGGCAAACTCTGATCATTTCAGTTGGACGTGTACAAAATCAATCAAACTCATCGAGCAAACAAATTTAATAATCCAATCAACCCATTTTCCAACGTCGATAGCTTCTTCGCAAGCTGCTTAAAGCCGATCAACAATTGAAACCCGCCAGCTTTCTTAGCAGACTGCTTAGCTGTTCTGTCAAGGCCTGACTCTTTCCATGGCATACCTTTGTGAACAGACATACGCCTTTACAAGGACCTAAGCATACTGCGACATGGGTGCCAAAGTTGACCAGCTTATGAATCTTCAGGAAAAGGTGCGGCTCACCCTCTCGAGAATAGCCGACAATCCCTTGATGGCGTTGTAGCCTCTGGTCGCAAGCGCGGGAAGTAGGACTCGTTCTGCTTCCAAGAGAAGTTTGTACAGACTATCCGCAAGCTCCCGGCTGTTGAGAACCAGCCCGGAATCGTGGACAAGCCCCTGTACGTATCGCAAATACGACGCATCTTTCATCCTTGCTGTGCGGATCCATGCCGCACTGTTTTGAAGAATGATAAGTCCAAAGTTATCAGAAAACTCCAGAGCCCGAGGCCTCCCTAAGCTCGACTTTGCAGGGAGCCAGACGTCCAGCAAGAAGAGCGCACAAATTTCTCGGGACGATACTCGCTGAGGATCTTTCAAACTCAAGCTGAGAAAAAATCCCACGTACGTATGAAACAGGACAGGTCTCGTGAAGCTCCCCTTCTATTTCTGGGATGGTGCCATAATGGATGACGGTTTCGCTTCGATGCATCAATTATGGGCCTGAGGTATCGTAGCAAAGATGATACAATTCAAGAATGCTGCCGAAGAGATTCAGAAAGAAATGCTGCCGAAGAGATTCAGAAAGACTCGAGGACTTTATGTTTCGCAAAGGTCCACACACACGTTTGCTGCCGCTAAAAGTCTGGTTTGCTTAGCGAACCGTGATTGGCACCTCAAAAAATTTACGTTCTGACCGAGCTGAGAAAGATCCCAAGCCAACGAAACGCTGCCTCCGAATGGTTTTAAGACGGGGCCAATCGACCGAACAACTCGCTTTTTGCAGACTGCATGGCAGTCTATGAAGTCTTGAGACAGGTCGTTACCTTCTGGTTAGCATTGAACGTCTCGAAGAGCGTCGAACGAGCCTCCGCAACACTGATGAGGCTCTCCAACCTCCTTGTGGCCACCGAGTCTTCGTCCTCCTCGCCCTATAAAACAGAATTGAATCCAGTTTCGGTTCAAGGTGTTTGTTCGAAAAGGATCACTGGACTTTTCGAGTCGAAAAACAAGATTCCCTGAAGTAGTGCGGCAAAGGACCCCCTTAAGTGGTCGTTTGAGCGACTGTGGATCAGGAAAGAGCAGTAAAGAATCACAAAGCACTGAAGCGAATGAACTGTCAGTCCGTCAAACGGAAAGACTTTGTCCACGGAGCGGAACGCCTTTGACCGATTCGACCTACCAATCTGAATCAATTTTGACCATTTCCGCTCCTTCCTGTGCTTTGGACAGCGTCTTTCCAGAATTGTTGGAAACGTCGAATGGCAACCGAAATAGACTGGAAACTTGCGCAAAACAACCAGCAAGCGGCTACTGAGGCGGTCGCCTATGCTTTCATGAACAGCTTGCAATGACAAGCGCAGAAATTCACTTATCAACTGTGATTACCTGAAGCGATACCTCTGGGTGCTTCTGCTTCCGGTTCTCCTCCTCTTGCGACTCGGCAGGACAAACCTGTTTCTCCTGCAATGACAAGAATGCATTCAGAGCAGACAGTGATACGTCTGCAGAACTTATCCGCATTCGTCGACTTTAGAATTTTCTCAGATCGTTCCCTTCTAAGGTTTTTCGCACGGAAAAATGCAAGCACGGGCTTTTGGGAAGCCTTTAGTGCGCCGTTTGATTATAAGCACTCAAGAATCACAGCGCCCAACGCTTGTGGGAGCTTAATCGCGTGGACTGGACAATTCCGACGTACCGTCACAGGACTGACTAGGACGACCCACATACGATGGAGATCGAGGCAGGCCTCCTAATTGGTTGACCTCAGCTTTGTTGCCAAACCTGAACGACCAAACCTGTGACTACAAGTGCACACTTTGCCGCTTACGTTTCGATTCGAATCCTACAGGTAACCAAACCTCTTTGCAAGCTTGATTGTAGATGAACCAGTAAGGCTTTGCCTTGTGTTGAAAAGGTGTTACTTCTTCGGACTCACCATATCCCCGAGTTGGTCGACCACAATTCCTCCAACAAGCTCGGCGAAAGGCTTTCCTCCCGATTGTTGCATACGCTGGCGCTCATTGGAAGCAATCTCCGGACCCTTTTCCAGGGGGTCGATCAAAGTCTGCATAAGAAGACCGGATTTTCCATTATTGAGCAATTTGTGGATCTGGCTTAATATAGAGGATACGAAAGCTTTGGCCTTTCACATCAGGACCTAAGCACAGAGAGACCACTCCGCTGCTCAATCAAATACCACAACATAATCTCGCATACTGTCCAGTTGCTCGCACATTCAGAATCTCAGAAGGCTGCATACCGTTGATTTAAAATCCTCCTCCTGAAAAGCTCATCAAAGCTCTCCTCCCCATGAGAAGTGGATACAACAGCACCTTTCAGAGAGAATTTGCAGCTGCTGGCACTAACATTTGTTGAGAAAAAAGTACATAGAATCTTTCAAAGAAAAGCACTCTCTCCTCATCAGCCCCCACCTCGTCATGCAATTCTGGACCTGTGTCGCGACTCCGCATTGCTAGAGGGGTTGTTCCCTGCGGCGGGGTGATCGGGGTACCTGCATAAGTGAGGACGTTCATGAGTCTGCATGCTTTGATCTAATTCCCGCGAAGATGAAAACGGTTCTCAAGAAGGCCTCATAAGTGGTAAGCTAGTCTCATCACCTGTTGGTCTGTATACTTGGTCACTGAACATTCGGGTCGGTACTTGATGTTCTTCAGCCTCACAGGGTCCAGAACATAGAAAAAGGGAGAAGTATGTTGGCGCCACCTGAGATCTGAAATTTAGATCTGGCAGCACATCGACCTTGACGATGCCAAACAGTATGATCGACAGATTAATCGAGTGAAAATGAACAGGATGTTGCAAGCATTTGCAGTGGTGACCAACTGGAGACTGACACCGACAGTCTACCACTGCACAACCCCTTCAAAAGATACACCATGAAAAGGCCTACAGACTCAGTACAATCACAAAGATGCAAACCCGCATGCAGGCAGTTGCTTGACTATCGACTCCGCCATATACTACAAAGGTGATGTGGTAAAGACTTACCGAGACTCTGCAGCTTTGCATCCAGGCTGGGAGTTCCCCCTGTCACCAGAAACTCCGCAATCCCCTCGACCACGTCCTGGTTCTTATAGTAGAGGCTGTGCCGGATACCTACCAAACCCACAATTTCCCTCACCCTCTCAACCAACATCCGGGACAAGAGCTCTAACCTTTTCCTCTCCTCACTAACCATCTTAGCAAGACCAAGTTTCTCCTTGAAAGCTTCCAGGACAAAGTTTGGTGCTGCCTGGGCCCCCACTTGCACGGCAACTTCTGGTTCCGTCCAACCTGCGGGAGCCGCTTTCCTTTGCTTGACTTCGCTTTCCTTTGTCCGACACCGGGCCTGTCCTCCGCCAAGTCTCCTAATGATTGCTCCCCTATCCCAACAGTCTCTGCCTCCCCTACCCCTTCGCTGATAACTGGACCTGTCTCCTCATTCAGTGGGGAACTTCTCGTTAGGTGTGCTGAATTGGGATCTGGTTCCCTGGGCTTGACTGCTGGTCCTGTCGGGCCAGCCCTGTCTACCATAGGTGTTGGAGGGGCCACTCCATTGCTCTTCCCCCCCATGCCTTGCCCTAGCTCCTCAACCGCTGGATCTAATTCCCACAGAAACTTAAAGGGAGACTCTGCAAGCCTTTCTTCACCAATGAGGATCTTTTGCACATTACGGTGCGTGACCCTGGGGCCCAGTGTCACAGAATGACCATCACTAACCTGTCGGGAAGCATCAGGGTCGTGGAACTGCTCCAGCTCTAGCCTCTCTGAAACCCTTAGCTTGGACCTCACTTTCCTGACCTCTTGCTCGGCAGTGCCTGTGCCCATTGCCAAGTCAATAAAGATATGTTCGATCAATGACGCTGCGAACCGATTGGCACAGATTAGGACTGGCCAGCTCAGGACCTTGAGGATGGCCATGGAAAGGCACCCCAAGCATGCCAACATTTGTTTGACACGGCTTCCGAAAAAAGCAACCTGCAGCCTTCCGTCCAGGTTTTGCCTGCCCTCAGAAGTCCACAAACTTCCCTGCTGAGAATCTGCATGCGGACCGTGAATCCGGATCCATGCAATGTTCCTCTGGAAGTCCAGGAGAGCTTCTTCATGCTTTATCAGACCCTTTACCATTGTAAATGGATATATAGTCAGGTACTCAGATAGACGAGGCAGCACATATACCTCCAATAAAGGTTTCACGGCGGTCAAAATGCACAACGCTTCATCCAGAAGGCCTGCATGGATAACCAGTGTGTTCATCCTTTTGGACCAGCTCTGATCTGTCAAATGGTAGAGGTTCCCCGCAGAACTGGCCTTCTTTGTTCTGTAGGCCTTAAAGGGAGGGCTCTCCATGAAGAGGAAAGCAGCCAAGAACGGCAGAACAACAGTGCCCACAGCACTATGAGGATGATCTCTATTGTCCGGTTGGTGACTCCCCCGTATACTGCCGTGATGAGCAAGGAGACAGCCAGAAGGCCCACGAGTAGAAATAGTAAGGGCATCTTTGGATGATGAAGAATACTGGCGAACAAGCGCCCCAGATAAGGCACCCAACCACCCCTCTCTGGCTTGTACAAGAACGGCGTTCCAAGGAAGATCAATGACCCTAGCCGATTTCTGTCCTCATGTGCAGGAAGCAACTTCCTCAGAGCATCTAGTTCCTCTTTGGAATTTTGAGCAGCCTGATTCTGCTCGCTGGCAGATACGCGCTCCTGCACCCCCAGCTCTCCCAGCTGCCAGAGCACAATTTCTACCGCTCGAAGCGCCACATTGCCTCCATGGCTATGGGCGACAATGTAGATTCTAGCACGGGGGTCTTTCTGACTGATGTCCAAGATACGTTCTGCAAGCTGCTTGGCCCCTTTTCCCGGCTTTCATCCGTATTCTTGCCCTCCCAGAAGAAAAGATTGTTGTTGGATGTGAGGAAACGGTCGCGGAAAACGGCATTGTCCCATTCCAACGAACTCCCTGCTTTTGCACTCAAAGCATTCTGTAGGGTCGTGCCAAAACCACCAGGAGGCGCCCACCAAGCATTTTCCAGATGAGCCTTCCCATCAATGAGTTTGGGCCCAGAGAAGGTCCCGTGCACAATCAAAACATAGTTAATGTCAGTAGATCTGCCACTTCCTGGCCCCACTCCCGCAGCCGCCATTGCGTGCCTTTCCTTGATTCCTTGTTGAATGTTCCCTTACCTGCCTCTGAGTCTATGAGTGACACTGACAGTCTA